TATTTTCTGACTGGTCGGCAGACCGCCGACCGGTCGGCCCTACTGGTTGGCTGCCAAGCGGCCGGCGGTCGGGGTCAGCGGTCGGGGTCGGCGGTCGACAGCTATGCAACCCTGCTACCAACAAATAACCAAGGGTTTACTCTCCCAACAAATGGCCAGGGTTAAGTCACTTTACCAACCAACGACCAGGGTTAGGTCACTTCACCAACCAAGAACCAAGGGTGTACTCTACCAACAGATGACTACAGTTTACTCTACCAACCAATCACCAGGGTTTACTCTACCAACCAATGACTAGGGTTTACTGTTCTTTGAACCTCTTTCTGCTGGAAGAATGCTACGGACATGTGGGGGGGGGTAATCGTGCTAACAACAGGGCTACCATCCCCACTACTTGTGAAAAGGGTGATCTGGACTAAAGAGGACATACATACAATAAGGTGGAGGGTCGGGGGCTAATCGTGGAACAAGGAGTGGGTCACACCTGGAAATCCATGAGTGCCATTTTGTGGAAACTGCAGTAGGACTACTGTAGTCGCGTGGGATTGCTGTGTGCGAGTGTACTGGGACATCTTTATGTCCTGGTACAGATCATGCACCTGGCCATGTGCAAATAGGGGATGCATTCTGACATCGACGTCAATGGGACTAAGCCTAAGCTCTGTGCTGATGGCAGTCGCACATTTCCGAGATGATCAGTTGCAATGGCACCATCTGAGCAAGATCTGGTCTTGAGAGGGACCCGACTTAGTGTCGTGGCTGCACATTTTAATACCCAGCTAGATATCAGTACTCTGGATGCCAATGGCAGGAGATAACTGGGTGTTAAAATGTACAGCCGAACGGAGCTGAAGGCTGTTAGTCCAAACCGGAACTTGAGAAGAAGAAGTGGAGAAGCAAAAAGGTCCGATGACTCGGCGATAAGTTTACTCTTTTGCAGTTTAAACTGTTTAACATCATCATAGATCAGTGACGAGCCAGCTTTGTGTTCCTCAGCCTCAATTTTGTGTCATTGACAACGATGATGATGATGATGATGATGATGATCATGGTTAAAGCCAATGGTCGTGATGATCCGGATTACCAGGAGGATGCCAATGATGTCGAGATGATGATGATGACTATAATTGTGATGATGGGCTACTAATCATCACAGATTAGTAGCAGTGGTGATAATGATGAATGCTGGTGAGCGCAGCATTGTTTCTTCATTTTCGTTCTTCGTTATTCTGTCTTCTTCTTCACGTCCTACTCCTCTGTTCCTTTTTCCTCTTCTCTTTGTTTTGTTTTCCCCCCCCTCTCCTTCATCTATTTCCACTTCTCCCTCCCCCTCCTCGTTTTTTTCCCCGGCTCCTCTTGTTTTTCTTCTCTTCTCCTTCTCGTTATTGTCCTCCCC